ATCACCCCCCAAGAGGGATGGTCACGCCGCAATCCCTTCTCCTCCATTCTCCTCTCGGGATCTTGGGCACGCACGCACACGCGCCCGGCGTGAGTTTTTTAAGCCACCGGGTCCGGGACACAAACCGCGGTCGACTATGTGGGAGTCCAGCGACATAGCCATTACGCTAACTGCTGGTTCCCTCCCCTGAACTGTTGAGCGGCCAGAAGCCTTGAGAATGTTGGAGTCCCTGCTTCTCTGCCAGCTCTGTATTATGGCAGACACTTATCCCCTTTCTTGAGAGGACACTCCAAGCATGCTGAAACTATCCCTCTGCAATTCACCCATAAATGACTGTGTCCAACTCTCAGCTGGGGCTGGAGATAGAGAATATTAACTCCTCCATTACACATACAAATGTTGATTAAGTTTAGATAGTTCTTTCTTTCTTTTTTAAAAAAAATTTTTTTAGAGAAATGTTTACTACATGCTGTTATTCCTTCTCCCCCATTCTCCTCTTGGGATCTTGGGCATGCACACACAGACACCTGCCATGAGCTTAAAATCTTCATGTCTGGGACTCAAACCACGGTTGACTACATGGAAGTCCAGTGACATAACCATTATGCCATTTGCTGGTCCCTCTCCATGTACCTTTTAAATATCATTAATAAGGGACCAGCAGATGGCAGAATAGTTATGTTGCTAGACTTCTATGTAGTCAACCACTGTTCAAGTCCTGAACCTGGCAGCATAAAACTTATGCTGGGTGCATGTGAGTATGTGCCCAAGATCCTGAGATGAGAATGGAGGATAAGTTGTTGTGATGTGGTCATCCCCCTGGGGTAGGTGATTTCTCAGTTTCTGTCTCTCTGTCTCTCTCTGTCTTTCCAGTGAACAAAGGTTCCCTAAAGCAAAAATCTCTTTTAAAAACAAAAGGTACATAAGATTTATCATATAATTCTAATGTTTATTTGTATTTTTACAATAAAAATTTAAGTATGTAATAAAGTAAGACTTTCTTAATTAGGTGGGTTTTTTTTGAGAGGTTTTTGCTATACGACCCATGCGCATGACAGAAAGACAGAGAGAGATAGATATAAAGTGAGAAATCACCCCCAGGGGGGGATGGCCACACTGCAATCTCTTCCCTTCATCCTCCTCTTGGGATCTTGGGCACGCACACACACGTGCCCAGTGTGAGTTTAAGCCACCGGGTTTGGGACTCGAACCATGGTCGACCACATGAGAGTACAATGACATAGCCATTATGTTAACTGCTGGTCCCAGTTGGATGTTATTTATAACCCCTAATTTATTGGGGAGGAAATTCAGACACATAGATTATATGACTTTATATATAACCAATAAGTATCAGAACTGAAATTCCAACCTTGTTACCTTGACTCAATTAGCCCATGATCTTAACTGCAAGGCTGCCTCTATGCTATTTTAATAAGTGTTCCGTAGAGAAACAGAACCAATGTGTGTTTTTATGTACACACACATAAAGAAAGAGAGATTTATTATAAGGAATTAGCTCTCAGAATTGTGGGAACCGGCAGGTCCAAACAGTGCACAGCAGGCTACCAGGTTGGAAACTCCGGGAGTTGCTATGGCAGACCAAGTCTGAAAGTCTGGATGCTGAAATCCTTCTTCCTTTGGAGACCTCATAACTTTTTCCCTCACGTGTCCTTCAACTGACTGGGGAGACCCACCCACATCATGGCATGTAGTATGCCTCACAAAAATCTACACATGTACAAGCTAATTTCATCTAAAGTATACTTCATATAGACATCTTTAATTGATGTTTGACAAAATACCTAGGTACCATAGCCTACACAATCTGACATTAAAAATGTGCAAGTTGAAAGCACATTTAAGGGGACCAACAGTTAGCATAATGGCTATGTCATTGAACTCCCATATAGTCAACTGCAGTTCGAGTCCCGCACCTGGTGGCTTAAACTCACGCTGGGCGCGTGTGTGTTTGTGCCCAAGATCCCAAGAGGAGAATGGAGGAGAAGGGATTGCAGCGTGGCCATGCGGCATGGCCATCCCCCCGGGGGATGATTTCTCACTTTCTGTCTGTCTCTGTCTTTCTGGCAAGCGCACGCGCCCTATAGCAAAAACATCTCCAAAATAAATAAATAAATAAATAAAAATTTAAAAAGCACATTTAGGGGCCAGCAGATGGTGTAGTGGTTACGTTGCTGGAGTCCCACATGACCCACCACGGTTCAAGTCCTGGACCCGGTATCTTGAAACTCACTCCAGGCACATGTGTGTGCATGCCCAAGATCTCAGGAGGAGAAGTGGTCACAGTGTGGCCATCTCCCTTAGAGGGTGATGTCTCACCTTCTCTCTCACAGTCTCTGTCTCTGTCTCTCTGGTGAGTGCATGTGCCCTAAGGCAAAAAGCCTCAAACAAACACAAATTTAGATACCACTACATACATAGTAGACTGGTTTAAATGAAAATCAATGATCATGTCAAATGTTACTGATCTGAAACAACTGGATCTGTCCTGTGTTAGTGGCAGGAGTAGCACCCACTCTCTGAAAAACTTTATGTTCATAAAAATTAAACATAGTTTTTCTAGCGATTCCATTCCCACTAATTTCCTCAAAAGATTAGAAACTATCTGATGACAGAGACTTTTGCACAAATGTCTATGTTGACCTTACTTATGATAGCGAATAGTGAAAAACAATCAAAGGGATAATGGATAAACAAATTACTACATATTCGTACAATGAAAATTCTACTAAGCAATGAAAGGAAAAAGACTGCTGACCTATGCCACACAGGAATGAAACAGCTGGATGCCCAGCGAAAGGCAGCAGACCCAGGAGCACAAACTGTGTCATTCTGTTTATGTCAAATTCTCAGCCTAGCAAAACTCACCTTTATTGAACAGTCAGCGGCTGCCTGGTCCCAGGGAAGAACTGCACATTCACTCTAGAGAGCCTCTTAAGTGTCAGAAATATCTTACATTCACTGTTTTTCTCTAGGAACAACAATCAATTTCACTCAACCATCAGTGTAATCTCTCTACCCACCCACACACGCATTTCTGGTATTCCTTTGGAGAGACTCTGGTTAACAATCAAGGCAAAATAGATTTATTTCTTCTCGAACTTTCTCTGTCTTCCCCAAATGGAACTAGCGATGTTGTTTTCTGTCCTTCTTCTGTATTTCACCTTGCATAATTTCCTCCTGGGTGATGACAGAAGTGACAGTTCTACATTTGAGACCATCCCGAAATGTTTAACCCTGAATTTCTTACTTTGTTTCTTTTCATCCCAGGTACTATATGTTTTTCTCTAATGTCATTTCCTATGGCCCTCACAGAGCATATTCAGTGGTAATTCTGGAGCTTCCTGTGGGTCATGAGCCGCTTCTCCTCCATTTTCTCCCTTATGTGTTTATTGAGGGAGAGATGTAGGAAATGATTGGAAAATTCTGATTAGGACAGATTTGAGGAGGAAGCCAGCTGGTAGCACTGACATAATAGCCTTATCATCTTGTGAACTGACAATAACTTTCGGGGCACTTTGCTACTTTCTTTGGGTTTCCTGTTTTTCTTTTCTCATGAGAGTGTACAAATCTGTTACTTAGCAACAGAGGAAAGCAAATGGTTTTGTTTTCGTTTCAGATATCAAAGGCTAAGGAGAGCTTTCTTTTCAATGATTCTATTGTTTTTAATTCAGTCTTTCTCAGACATGAGATAAATGAGCAGTACTGTCCTAAACATGCATTTTAAATTAATAAAAAAAAATTTCCCTTGACTCTGGAAGGGTACTAGTTACAAACCATCTTGAGAGAACTGAGAAAATGGTTACTAGAATACTCTTTTTGTTCTGTGGTTCAGATAAGGATCCCTGTTGAGAAAAAAGTATGACAATATGAGTTGGTCCTTCTTCCTCTTTGCATTTTTAGTTTACTTAAACTGCTTTTCTCCCCAGCAAACATTTTTTTTCCTTGTGAAAAAAATGTTGTGGTGAACAAGAGTCTGACTAATAGTCACATGATTACTTCCAGTGTAAGAAATACTGCTCAAAATGTGTGTTATTCTTGAAAAATGACATACCTGTAGTTGGGAGCTGTGGTGTACAAATGCCAATACCATTTTTACAGTAAAGTTAAGTAAAATTAAAACTTTGTAGAGAGTTTTTGGAAGATAATGACACAGAGCATCCAAGTAGCTGCCCTGGCGGAAGAGGTGACAATAACCGAGAATAACCACCAAGGAACGGATCAAGAGGAACAAGGTAGGGACATTTTGACGAGTTCAGAGTGAATGCCATCTATTGAAATTGAGAAATGAAAGCCTTTAAAGAACAAATATGAGTTTGTAGTTTTTATCTCAAACCAGACAATTTCATTTTATTTAAATTACAGAAATCAGTTTTGTAATTAACCGTTTTGTCCTAATAAGTTCGGATATAGTTTATCTTATCATAATTTATAGTGGAGAAATCAGTTTTATAATTGTAATTAGTGAATATAGTGAGCTTGGAGTAATTTCTTTTCTTTTCTTTTTTTTTGGGGGGGGAGAGGTTTTTGCTATAGGGTGCGAGCGCTTGCCAAACAGACAGAGAGAGACACAGAGAGATAGAAAGTGAGAAATCACCCCCCAAGGGGGATGGCCACGCCACAATCCCTTCTCCTTCATTCTCCTCTTGGGATCTTGGGCAGGCACGCCCACCCGCCCGTCCTCTGTTTTAAGCCACCGGGTCCAGGATACGAACCGCAGTCGACTACATGGGAGTCCAGCGACATAGCTATTACGCTAACTGCTGGTCCCAGAGTATTTATTTTCAATTTAACATACCAGTGTATGCTAGGCAAAAGATTATTGTTGCAGGACTTATTAGAATGTGTACTTTATTCCCTCCCCAACCCTCTTTTGTTTTGCAAATTTCTTGATTTGGCCTACAATGAGGTAAAAGAAGGTTGGAGGAAATGGAATCACATATTAGATGGTTGCATAAAAATATCACCTGGATCAAAAGTTTTAATATTTTATATTCATTTGTAAAAACCTGCATTATTTTCTATCTCACACATCAATCAACAGGATGAATTTACATACATAAATAAATTACATATCTTAGATATTTTATCACCTGTACACATTTTATTAAAGTTACTGAATAGTACATGCTAAGTAATATATATGTATAGTATATATAGATATATAATTTGAAATTATAAACACTATTTTATAGTAATAATTTAGGGCACTGTGATAAAATTCAGTTTTTCTATATACATTTTATTTATTAATTAAATTTATTTATACTACTTTCTTGGGAGAGGGAGAAAGACCCCTGACAGGTCTTGCCACACCATGATTCCCCCCTCAGCCTTCCAGCCAGGCTGGATCAGCGTGCACCCGTGGGTGTGCCCACACTCTGTACGTTCAGGCTGGCCAGCAAAGGAACCCTGGGCCTCCGTGTGGCTGCAGCCCTGTTGTCAGCTGTGCGGACACTTCTTTCTTCCTGTTGGTTCAGATGGATTTCCTCTTTTTTCAATCCCTCCTTAATTCTCAGAAACATCATTTCAGTAAGTTACGTTTTTTTTTTAAATGAAAGGGCCATTTATTTCAAGCACCTTTCGCTTTTTTTTTTTTACTTTTCAACAGAGATTCTAGAGGAAATGCTATCAATATGACTTGCCTACTTAAAAATAATGCATAGAAAAATCTATAAAAAATAATTCTGTTTCAGCGGTAAATACTATTCACCCTCTCAGCATACACACTCACACTAATTAAAATATTGAAAAACGGGGCAGCTGCGACACAAGGAAGGACAATAGCAAAAGCTACCTTTGACCAGATTTCCTCAACACACAGCACCTGTATGTCTTTTCATTTTTAAAAAAGGACATTTCTTACTTTAAATTAAACAAACTTTGTCCTTAGTGATGTATGAAAGAAAGAAAAAATTAAAACACATCTAAGTTTATGCTACTTAGAGATTACCAGCATTATCATTTGGGTGAAAATCCTTCCATATATTTCTCTAATCCTATTTTCACACATATACCCTCTCTCCCAAAGACTTTATTTATCTTACAGTAAGACATGGTGCTGTTTGGTGGAGGAAGAGATATAGGCTCAAGTGGGATAAGAAAATTAAATCATTGACTATAAATATCTGATCAAGATTTTGAAACGGTAGTGTCTCTAATACTAATAATCCTTTGCTCACTAAGCCAGTTTGTGGACAGAAAAACAGAACAGCATAATAACATATTGACTTGATAGGTGGCATAGAAAATGGAAAACAAGTACTAGTTTTCTTGATACCTGAGATTTAAAGAAAATCAACTGAAAATTAATAAGGAAGTTAAGAAAATTAAATTTTAAAAGAGATAAAAACCTCATTAGAAGGAGCTGGGACTCAAATTCTGCACTGAGTCACATACAACCCCCAAGAAGGTGAAAGTCAGATATATGCTTTGTTTATTCTCTGGATCTTTGTTCTCTCAAAGACGGGGTGATTTTTCCAAACTAAGAGCAGTCCGTCCGTTTGTGCTTCAGACTATAGCACCTCTGGCCTGAACAAGAATTATTTATTTATTCCATCTCCCTTCTACTTTCATCAGCAAACTGTCCCTTTCACACTGAATCAACCCCATCAGCACACAAACATTATTTATTGTAACTTTAAAAAGTTTCTATCATACCATTCATCTCACTCCTACTCTGCTTGCTTTCTTTTCATGCAGCAAAAGTTCTCTGAGAGTTGACAAGCTGATTTCACTTCTCTGCTCCCAGACTTTTTCTTTTTCTCTTTCACTTCCTGCAATCATTTGATCAAGAACACCAATGAGCTCCACAGGCTCAATTTGATTCTTCCTCCTACCACTGTCTCCACCCTGAGAATCAGTCTCCTAGTCTCTCTACCCAGTGGTCCAGAGGGTTTTTAAAGATGCAGACCTGAAACACTAAAACCTACCAAAAATAATTCAATGACTTCCCCTCACACTTAGAAAAATATCAGTTTCCTTCCAAGGCCTTCAAACTTGGCATTCTTTGGTTTCTGTCTCACTAGCCACTGGTCTCTTCATTGTCTTGGACAGATCGCACTCCTCGTTTTCTGCCACACTCTTCTGAGTTCTTTCTTGATTTAGGCACTGACACTTGCTGTTCTTGCCTGAAATATGTTCTCTTGTTTATTTACTGTAAATAACCACTGCTTATATTTTCGGTCTTGTTTTAATGTCATTTCCACAAAGTATGGAATGGTCTTTGTGACCATCCTTTTTAGTCTCTTCTCTCTTATCCATCAGAGGGCTCTGCTTATTGCCTCTCTGTAACTTGCAATCTGTAGTTTTTAATTCTCTTTTCTGTTTATTGTCAGTCTTTCCATCCAATGTACACTCCAGGAGGGTATGAACTCTGTTTTTATTCTTTGGTTATTTGTTTATTATTATGTTTCTGGAAACTAACACATAGTAGGAAATAAATATTTGTTAAAGGATGAACAAATAAACAAGAGCTCATTGAAAAGTGAAGTATTACCGATATGGCAATTCATTCTTATGGTGTAGTTTTGAAGTTCCTGATAGAAGAAATACACAACAAATGATAAGACTTCAGACACTTGTCAGAAATATACAAAATTACACATACTTTCCAAATGCTATTTCTCAGATGCTCAAAATAACAATAGTTTGGTGGTTCAGAAACAAGTACTGATGTTCTCTTTGGTGCATTTATCCCCCCACCCCCACCCCCATGCTACTCTAAAAGAAAGAAAAAAAAACTATTATAATCTTGTATGAGTACCATTATTTTCATGCATTGTTCATGATAAGAAATATTAGTACAGTATTTTGGGGGATCATTTAACAATATTTCCCAATTTTATTTTTAAAAACATATCTTAAGGGACCAGCAGTTAGCGTAATGGCTATGTCGTTGGACTCCCATGTAGTCAACTGTGATTCGAGTCCTGGATCTGGCGGTTTAAACTCAGGCCTGGCGCGTGTGCATGCGTGCCCAAGATCCCGAGAGGAGAATGGAGGAGAAGGGATTGTGGTGTGGCCATCCTCCCTAGGGGGTGATTTCTTGCTCTCTGTCTCTCTGTCTCTCTCTGTCTTTCTGGCGAGCACACACACCCTACAGTGAAAATCTCTACAAAAAAAAAAGAAAAAGAAAAACATATCTTAAGAAGAAAATTGGCAAGTATACAAGACACATTGACACCACATTCCATCTAGTTCTGGTTTAAACAGCAGAATAGCCTAAATACCAGAAAGAGATAAAGTTTTATTTGTTTATGCTTTTTTTTTTTTTACTTTTATGGTATAGCCATATAATACATTATTATGTAGCCATTAAAATTATTGTAATGTCAAGATGTACTTGACATACAAATTTCTCCATTGTTTTCAATGAAGTGACTTAAAACAACAGCTATTGTCTTGCTTGTGGTCATGTGGGTTAAGAATGTGGAAAAGCCTCTGTGAGGATCAGTCATCTCTCCTCTGTGTGAAGCCAGCTGGTGGCATGTGGGTAGGGACTAAGAATCTAAAATGGCGTCACTCACGGGTTTGAGGGCTCAGTGGTTATATGTCAACTAGTTGTCTCCCACATCCTCTGTGTGTGTGTCCCAGGAGAACCTAAACTACTTTTGATGGTGGCTAGGCATGGCTTCTGATAGTGAAAGTAGAAACTTCAAGGCTCTAAAAGTTCCGGAGTGTCACTTCTACCACATTCTATTGGTCAAAGCAAAGCACAAGGCCAATTCATAGTCAGTTGTTGGAAAGTTCTATAACTTCTCGATGGAAAGAGTAGCAATATCATGTGTCAAAGAGATGATAAACACAGGGAGGCATGATTCACTGAGCACCATAGATTACTGTGCATTGATTAATTACCACACATGAGAAAAATAAATTGTTCATTGAAAGCATTAGATTGTAAAACAACAGTTGTATTATTGTACTCATTAAAAATGATGTGTGTTTGAGTGAGAAGCTGTATGTGTGAAAATAAGATTAGAAAATTATACAGGTAGAAGGATTTTCACTCAAATTAAAATACCAGTAATCTTTAAGTAGTGTAAACTTAGATGTGTTTTAAATTTTATTTCTTTCATACATCCAGTAAGGACAGTTTATTTAACTGGTTCTTCAAATGTATGTTTTGTATCATCTTGTGAAAACAAAGCGTAGAAGAAAATCAGTAATGTTTCAGTGAAAAGTCATCAGATTTTAATTCACCAGTTCAGTCTCATGTACTTAATCTATTTTCTGTTGTGGTCCTATCTAGGTATAAAAGATAGATGTGACAAATAGTCTCAGTAAGTTTATAACTCTATAAATTTAAAAAATATTTATAATGAGGATGAATACTTAATAATCAAATACAATATTAAAAATGATTATTTGAAAAAAATTATGTCTTCCATTTTTGTTTTCTCCTGAGTGGGTACTAATTAAGAAAAGAACAATTCCTCAGCAGAGATTTGCTCTGTTGTATTCACTTTTACAATTAGAAAACAAAGGACTAGAAAAATGACAATAAAAAAGAATGACATTCATGTTCCAAATCTCAAACCCAAATATGATTTAAACTCTGCTATACTACTTCTCCTTTCAAATAAGCTTTCTTTACTAGCTAGAAAGTAGATTTTCTTAGAAACTGTTAATGAGTGTTAGGATGTGCCAATATTCTCAGAGAGGAAGGATGCCGAAGATCTGGGGATGAATTCTCCCCTAACGAGCCATTTATTTTTCATGCCTTGGACTGTGACTGTAAAAACATGGCAACATTTGGACTGATGTAGGCACAGTATGAGAAATTTTGAATAAAAAAAAAGAAGCAGGGCTGGCCTAGTTGCACAGTGGTTAAGCCCTGTGCTCAGGGAGCAAGATCCCACATGGCTGGCTGAGGTTCAACTCCTGTTCTTGGCGGCTTGAAAGACAAACCCCACATCCTGATGGGATGGAGAAATGGAAAGGATTATGGTGTGACCAGGCCCAGCTGAAGGATTTTCTCTCTCTCTCTTACTCTCTCATGTGCCCTCTGGCAATTAAAGAAAAAGAAGGAGAAAGCAGATTTATCTTACGTGACAAAGAAAAAAATGTATGTTTTGTGTCATCTTGTGGAAACAAAGCATAGAAGAAAATTAGGAATTTTTTAGTCAAAAGTCATAAGATTTTGGGACCAGCAGTTAGCATAATGGCTATGTCACTGGACTCCCATGTAGTCGACCACGGTTTGCATCCTGGACCTAGTGGCTTAAAACTCATGCTGGGCACGTGTGCGTGCGTGCCCAAGATCCTGAGAGGAGAATGGAGGAGAAGGGATTACAGCGTGGCCTTCCCCCTGGGGAGGTGATTTCTCGCTTTCTGTCTCTCTCTGTCTGTCTGTCTGTCTGGCAAGCGCATGCACCCTATAGCAAAAACCTCTAAAAAAAAATGGTCATAAGATTTTATTTCACCAGTTCAATCTTATGTACTTAATCTATTTTCTGTTGTGGTCCTATCTTCCCATTCAAATTCTGGAATATAAGATTCAAATCCAGACTTGTCCCTACCATTAAGTTGGTCATTTTCTTGGTTGTTTTTGAACTCTTATTTCTGTGTCTGTATTTAGTTTTCCTGGGATAGCATTCCATTCAGAACTTCTTGGTCTGGTGTTGGTAAATTCTTTCAGGTTTTGTTTATCTGAGAACATTCTTGTCTTTCTTTCCCATATGAAGGATAATCTTGCCGGCTACGGTATTCTTGCTTGAAATTGCTTTTTCCTTAACAAATTGAAAATGTTTTCCCATTCTTTCCTTGCTTGCATTGTTTCTGATGGGAGGTCTGCTGTTAACCTGATGGGATATCCTTTGCAGGTAACTTGAAATTTCTCTCTTGCTAATCCTAGTATCTTGTCTTTGTCTGTGATTTTGGTCAATCTGGTTATAATGTATCTTGGAGAAGATCTTGGGTTGATTCTATTTGGCATCCTTTGTATTTCTTGGGACTGGATCTTTGAATGCCTCTCTAGGTTTGGAAAGTTTTCTTTCAGGATTTTATGGAATAGATTATCAATGTCCTTATTAGTCTTCACCTTCTGAGATACCAGTTATCCAAATGTTTGAATGCTTGATGGTAGCTAGTATTTCTCATATATTATTCTAATTTTGGGGGGCAATTTTCTCAGTCTTTGTGGTGGATTTTTCTAGGCCAGTGATTCTGTCTTCTACATCTGAGACTTGATCTTCTATATGATCTATTCTGCTTTTAATACTTCCAGGGGAGGTTTGGATTTCCTGTATTACAGCCTTCATCTCTAACAGCTTCATTTGAATATTTTTTATGGTGAATATTTCTTCTTTCAAATCATGCAAGAAGTTCGTCACCTGCTGAAAATTGTCAGCTCTTTTCTCCTGTGTCTTCTGGAGTTCATTGACTCTCTTCTCTTGCATCTCTGTTAGCTTTGTCACTATGAATATTCTAAATTCGTTATTTGACATTTCTGTGAGTTGCATAGTACTGTCTGTGGATGAAGGGTTGTTACTCTTTTCCATTGGAGGAGAGGTATTTTCTTGTTTTCTCATGTTTCTCATATTTCTTATGCCCTTGTGATGATTTCTGGCCATCTGATGGGTTGTGCATCTTCCTAATTTGTGAAGTTCATTCTGAGTGTTCAGAGATGTGCAGGAGAAGGTGACTGCAATCTCTCTTCCATTCTGTTTTTCACTCTTTGTGCATCAGATTTAGTGGAAATTGAGGAATATTCTGACCTTAATAAGTATTCAGATGTCTGGATACTGTTTACTTAGATCTGTCTAAACACTCTGTATGTGGAGGCTGAGCAGCCAAGAGATAAAGTTAAAGAAAAAGGAAAAGAAAAGAGAAAAGAAAAGAAAAAAGAAAAAAGGCAATAAAAATTTTGTATTTTAATTTTAAAAAGTGAAAAATGAAAACTTTGTGGTGTATGCAATATTTCACAGCTCAAGTTCAGTAGCCATCTCAGAATGGGCCTGGTTTTGTTTCTCTCTAAATGGGAGGGGGAAAAGGCATGAATTAGCAAGATAAAGAAAGGCTTGAGAGCCCAGATAATACTTCACCTGAATTTTTTTTTAATTAAATGACACAGGGAGACACAGAGAGACACAGAGAGACAGAGAGATGAAGAGAAGGATACAGAGGTTACCCTACCCCACTAGAAATGAATCTGGAGAGTGAAGACTCAGCAGAAGATCTTCATTTAGTCCCTGAAAACAAAACAATATTTCATAGCTCAAGTTCAGTAGCCATCTCAGCTAAATATATTTGTTTTTATTTTTTAGGTTTGATGTGCAGATATAAGAAGACTATTTTAATAAGTGGTACTATATCAATGTTTATTATTATTATTGTTCTGGTTAGTATTTTGAGTATTAGATCAGGTAAGTAAATTGCAACTTTTATTTCTTCACTTTTTTCTTTTTCTTTTTTTCCCTTTTTTTAATGTAAATTTATTTATTTACATTCCTTCACTACCTATACATCATCACAGCAAATAAAATGAGATTTCCCAGCCAGAATACACTGTATATTGGCTTAATCAAGCACATCAACATACGTGTTATCATCAACAAACAATATTCCCTTTCCTGTTTCCTGTATATTTTGTTATTTTTGCCATCCTTGATTCCCTATCTCTCACTCTCTGCTGTGTCCCACCCTCCTCCCACACTGTCTCTGGTATCCATGGTTGCTTTTATGCCTTTCCCCTGATTTTGTTTATTCTATAAAGAACTTAATTAATCTAAATACTTCAATAGCAAGCACAGCTGATATATACATATCCATGAACACAAGTCTGACCCTAGGCCTAAACTTCAGTGAGTAGAATGAACATACAACGAAGTAGCACCCAGCTGGGACTATATAGCTTATTGCAGTCTTCAAATATGCATCTTTTTAATTTCATGAAAAAGTTTTCATGATTTTTTTTCTCCTGAAACATTTTTTAAATTAATTAATTTACATTCATCTCCTAATCATCATCACAGCATTCAAAAAGTGGTTTTCCATCCAGAATATACTACATCGTGGCTTAATCATGTATGTTATCAATAATTTTCCATTTCTAGTTTCATGTGTGTGTTTGTATATTCCCACCCTCTTCTCACACTATCTCTGGTGTCTACAGTTGTCTTCCATTCCTTTCCCTCCACATTTTATTGATCATGCAATTTCTTAAATAATCTAACTACTTTGAATAGCAGGTTTATCTGGTAATTTCAAGAAAAGCAATTTTGAATTGGTAAGGAAATTTCCTTAAAACTTAAAGCCTGGAAACAGGTTAGTGTCCTGTTCAAATAGTAGGTACATGAAACTATTGGCAGCTCAAGACAGGACAAAAACTCTTAAAACTAGACAACAAAGCCTAGAAGAAAAGCAGCAATCTTTGAGTCAAAAGTCACAGAATGCTGTTTCACCAGTTCAGTCTCATGTACTTAATCGACCTTCTGTTGTGGTTCAATCTTCCCAATTGAATTATGGGATATAATATTAAACTCCAGACTTGTCCCTACAATTAAGTTGGGCATTTTCTTAGTTTTTGAACTTTTATTTCTGTGTGACTACATTTAGTTTTCCTGACATAGCACTCTCTTGAGAACTTCTTGAAGATCTGGTCTGCTGCTGGTAAATTCTTTCAGGTTTTGTTTATCTGAGAATGTTCTTGTCTTTTCTTCCCATATAAAGGACAATCTTGCCGGGTACAGTATTCTCGGTCATAATTGCTTTTCCTTTAACGCATTGAATATATTTTCCCATTCTTTCCTCACTCACATTGTTTCCGATGAGAGGTCTGCTGTTAGTGTGATGGGATATGCTTGTAGGTAACTTGCCGTTTCTCTCTTGCCAGTCTTAGTATCTTGTCTTCATCTATGTTTTTTGGTCAGTCTGGCTATAATGTGTCTTGGAGAAGATCGTCTTGGGTTGATTCTATTTGGGGTCCTTTGTATTGTCTTTGAGTGCCTCTCTAGGTTTGGAAAGTTTTCCTGCAGGATTTCATGGAATAGATTATCAATGCCTTTATGAGTCTCTTCGCCTTCTGGGATGCCAATTACCTGGATGTTTGTACGTTTGATGGTATCTAGTATTTCCCGTATATTATTCTCAAATTTGGGGGCAATTTTCTCAGTCTTCGTGGTGGATTTCTCTAGGCCAGCAGTTTTCTCTTCTACGTCTGAGATTCTATTTTCTGTGTGCTATAGTCTGCTTTTAATACTTTCAAGAGAGATTTTGACATCCTGTGTTATAGTTTTCATCTCTAACAATTCCATTTGATTCTTTTGACAAGTGTGTAATTCCTCTTTTAGATCTTGCAAGAGTTTCCTCACTTCCTGGCACTTGTCAGCTCCCTTTTCCTTTCTCTTCTGCAGTTCATTGTCTCTCTTTTCTTCCATTTCTGTTAGCTTTGCCATTATGAATTTTCTAAATTTTTTACCAGACATTTCCATGATTTCCGTTGTACTGTCTGTGGATGAAGAGGAGCCATAATTTCCCTTGAAGGAGAGGTACTTTCTTGCTATCCCATCTTTCTTGTGGTCCTGTGGTGATTTCTAGTCATCTGATGAAAAAGTGTGTTTCTTCCCAAACTTGAAATTCAATCTGAGCATCCAGGAGCGTGCAGAAAAGGGAACAGAGAGAGAGAGAGAAACAACAGCAACAAACACAACCAAGAAACAGAGAAAAAGAGAAGAAAAAAAAATTATTTTTTTTAAAAAAGCAAAAATTAGAAAACCTCATGGCATGCATGTGCACCATGCAAAATCACTAGTTCTCAGTAGCCATGAAGGGGTCTTCTGAGGCCTGCACCCTTGCCTCTCCTGGGTTGGGAGTGGAAGAGGGGATTATTAAGAAGATAAAGGAAAAGGAGGGGCTGAAAGCCCAGGAACTGCTTAATTTTAAAAAATTTTAAAAAGGAAAAATTACCAAAAAAGAGAAGACAGAGACAGAGGTAGAGAGAGACAAAGACAGATACAGAGAGAGGAGGCTGGAATGTCTTCTTCCTACCACACGAGCTTGAGGGCTGGAAGCTAAATTATCAGTGGAAGATCTTCATTCCTCCTAATTCCCTGAAATCACTCTTTCTTTTTATTTCTATTGTATGATCTTTTTTTTTTTTCTGTTTCAATCATTATCTTTTCTTATTATTCTCCTTTCTCTTCTCATTTTCATGACCTATTTAATGGGTATCATTGAATGAATTATTATTCATACATTATCTATGTAAATCATCAGGAGATGCAAAAACAACTAAGCAAAATTATTAGCATTCCATTCAACATTTCCTTGCCAACAGTAATTATTCTTATGATTTCCACTGCCATAGGTGAGTTTAGCTCATTTAAGAAATTTTATGGAAATAAAATAATGCAATTTGCATATTCTTTCTTCCTTCCTTCCTTCCTTTTCTTTTTCTTCCTTCCTTCCTTCCTTCCTTCCTTCCTTCTTTTCTTTCTTTCTTTCTTTCTTTCTTTCTTTCTTTCTTTCTTTCTTTCTTTCTTTCTTTCTTTCTTTCTTTCTTTCTTTCTTTCTTTCTTTCTTTCTTTCTTTCTTTCTTTCTTTCTTTCTTTCTTTCTTTCTTTCTTTCTTTGTTTTTTCTTTCTTTTTATTTTCCCAAAAGATTCATGTGCTTGCGAGAGGGAGGAAGAAGGGGGAGAGGGAGAAAGTGCCCCTGACTGGTGTGTGGCCACATTGCACTCCCTTTTCCTCCATTTCTCCGCCTCACAAGGATTCTGAACACCCATGCACATAAGCCTGGCATGTTTTTCAAAGTAATAGAGCTGGGACTTGAGCATTAGGCTTTGGGGCCAGCCTTGCATTTATTTTCTTTTGTTCAACATTATGTTTGTGGGATTTTTTTTCCATGTCATATCATGTAGCAAAAGTTTACTACCTCGTTGTAAAAGAGAATCAGAAACTTTTTTATAAAAAGGGTCAGAGAGTAAATATTTTAGATTTTGCTAGCCACATGATCCCTGTTACAACTACTGAGGATTGCATTTGTAGTGCAAAAACAGAAAATATATAAATAAATTAGTAACTTGACTGCATTTTAATACAGTTGAGTACAATAGAAATATTATAACATTTCTATGGGTTATGAAATATTATTCCTATTTTAATTACTATCTTTTTATTACTTTCATTATTTTAAAATGTAAAAATATTTCTCAGCTGTACAAAAATAGGAGATGAGAGGGCTTTGACCTCAGGCTATAATTTACAGCCATTTTCTGTGGTGCAGTCTGTGCTATGAATACAGCACTATTATTAATCTTCCTATTTTTGATGGACATTTGTATAGTGTTGCATTTTGGCTACTGCAAATAGTGTGGCTTTGAACATCCTTAACTTTTTGTCTTTTAGTAAAGATGTGACTTGGGATATACTTAAGCAAATAATCACTAAGCCATGGACTAGACATAGATCAGCTTTAGTATTAAATACCAGTGATAATGTATGGCTAATCCCACCAGTGCCAGTTACTCCATAATACCAGTGATAATGTATGGCTAATCCCACCTTTGCCAGTTACTCCACAGTTTTGCCAACACTTTATTGTCAGTTTTATCCCTTTTTGACATTCTAATGAGTGACAGTACCTTATTGTAGCTTTCAATGAGACTTTCCTGATAACGAACACTGTTAAGTACCTTCACATGTACTGTTTATTGAGGCATGTCAGTTTTCATTGTGATTTCTGACTTATACACAACCATTGCATATCTTTGTGGGGGCCAGTAGGGTTTTTCAAAATATGCATGCAGTGTATAATAATCAAATCAAGGACACAGATACACCCACCTTGTTCAGGATTCAACATGAACACTATTACGCATATTTGATATTTGGGTGCAATATGTAGTAAGAGGTATGTTCAAATTTTTGCCCATGTTTTGAATTAGCCTTCTTTTGGTGTTTGATTCATAAGCATTCTTCAATATTGTTAGGTGGGAGGGAGTCTTGTAGTTTGTTTTTTTGCTATAGGGCACATGTGCTTGCTGGAGAGACAGAGACAGAGAAAAAGAGAAAGACAGAAAGTAAGCAATCACTCCCTAGGACGGATGGCCATGCTGCAATCCCTTTTCTTCCATTCTCCTCTTGGGATTTTTGGCACACACACACACACACACACACACATGTGCCCAGTGTGAGTTTTAAGGTACCTGGTCTGAGATTTGAACCACAGTTGACTATATGGGAGTCTAGTGATGTAACTATTAAACCATCTGCTGGTCCCTCTTTAATTATTTTTATTGACATAAAAACTGTACATATTTATAGAGTACATTGTGATTTTTCACTACATAAATATAATGTTTAATGATCAAATCAGAATAATCATCATATTTATTATCTTAAACATTTATCATTACTTTGTGCTGGGAACATTTAAATCATCTCTTTGAGATATTTTAAAACATGCAGTAAATTATTAACTATACTTACCCAAGTGTGCTATAGAACACTGGAACTTATTTCTCTGGTTTATGTGTAATTTTGTGTCTGTTAACTGACATCTCCCCATCTCCCACTAACCCCTAACCTCCCAACTTCTAGTAACTACTGTTACAGTCTTTATTTCTATGAAGACAATTTTTCAGTTTTTGGAGTGAGAAGATGCATTTTTTTCTGTCTATATCTGGTTTATCTCACTCAACATAATGTCCTCTGGGCTTGACACATCGCCTCAAATGAGGGGATTTTGTCATTTATAATGGCTGAATTTGATCATGACCTTTTAACATTTTTCAGTTAAGTGAACAATTTGCTTAATTTTATTTGCACATATGTTCATATGAGATTGACCTATGATTTATAATTTTTGTAATTCTATCTGTTGTTGGGTATTGATATCAATATTATTCTGACCTTTAAACTGACTTGGAAAGTATTCCCTCCTATTCTGTTTTCTGAAAAAAAGCTTATATAACATTGTTTTTATGTCTTTCCTAAATGATTAGAAGTATTCATAACATAAGTCATTCTGTATTTCTCCAGTGATCTCAAAACATGGAAGCAGAGTATTTTACCTGTTCCTCAAAATATGTATTTTTCTCATTTTCATTTAAAACAGCTACACCTTGTCAGTGTCTTTGCCCAGTAGATTGGGTTAATTTCCAGAACAAATGCTATTATTTCTCTAAAGAAGAAAGAGACTGGAACTCAAGCAGATCCAACTGTTCCACTCACCGAGTCGATCTAACCACGATTGACACCGAGGAAGAGATGGTAAGTAATTTAATATATGTTCTTCATGAATTACCTTTAGCCACAGCAGTCAAAATACCCAGGTATCAGGGCCAGCAGGTGGCATGGTGGTTAAGGCACCGGACTCTTACATGACCAACCACAGTTCAAGTCCTGAACCTGGTGGCTTGCTTTTTCACTCTCCTTCTCTCTGTCTCTGTCCCTTTCTGGTAAAATTGAAGAATGATGATAAGTAAAAATTAAATAAATAATTCTAAAAAAGAGAAATATCCAAACTTCATTACAGTGGTAAAAACTTCACAGATGCCTGTTTATGGAGAATGTTGAAAGTGTTCAGACTATGCCGTATAAGATAGCAGTTAGTGGGGACAGCTGGTGGTGTGGTGGTTAGGGTGCTGGACTTCCACATGGCTGACCACGGTTTACGACCCAGACCTGGCAGCCTGCTTTCTCACTTTCTCTCTTTCTCTGTGACTCTTTCTGGTCAAATTAAAAAATAATAATGAAAAATTAAATTAAATAGTTTTTTTTTTAAAGGTAGCAGTTGAAAAACCTGGGAAAATTTTGTTTGAAGAGCGTAAGACTTACATCAAGTAGTACACCTGATACCTGGCCTTACTTTTTTTTTTTTTCTTTTTGAGAGGTTTTTGCTATGGGGCACATGCGTTCACCAGAAAGAGAGAGACAGAGAGATAGAAAGCGAGAAATCACCCTCCAGGGGGAATTGCCACCCCACAATCTCTTCTCCTCCATTCTCCTCTCGGGATCTTGGGCATGCATGCCCACGCACCGGGCATGAGTTAAAGCCACTGAGTCTGGGACTCAAACCACGGTAGACTACATGGGAGTTCAGCAACATAGCCATTACGCTAACTGCTGGTCCCCTTGGCCTTACTGTTTAAGAAGTCTAAATAATAGAGCTTGATGGAAACCTCTTCAATGCCGATACTAAACAAAAAAGAATTGTCTCAAGAAGGATGGAATTTTCTGTTCTGCTCCTTCTGAGGAACTTTCCTCTGACGTCTCTGTCTTGCTTGCTGTCCATCTCTGAGGCCCCATGGCAGCGTCTCTCAGAGCACTCTCTACAGTACTGAACAAATTAATGGAATCAAAGTCTCTCCCAGACCAAACTAAGGTGAGCAGATGCATGCCTTATCAGAGACTGTATCCTTAGCTGTGCAGTGCGAGGCCAGTTACAAAGGGAAAGCTTAACAGATCCTTGCTGAATAAGTACTAAGTTAAAGGACAAAACGCCTATGGGCAAAGAGACTTTCTAAGAATTTTTACAAGGGATTGCAGAAGTTTGAACATTTGAATTTATGAATTTGTTTTTTCCCTAAGTCACTAATGTAGTAATGTTTATGTTTGCTTAGTATCTTAAAGAGTGAAAAGACAATATAAGCAGTAATGCAACATGGTTTTAAAATATTTTTGTAGGGGCCAGCTGGTAGCATGGGGTGACCCCACATGGCCAACCATATGGATAGAATCCTGGACCCTGGGGCTTGAGAAATACACTGGGCTTGTGGGAGTGTGTGTCTAAAATCTTGGAAGAGAATGGAGGAGAAGGGATTGTGGCGTGTTCATCCCCCACTGGGGTGTGCTTTCTCTCTTTCTAGCAAAATTTTGCTTTATAGGAAAATAAATATGAGTATATATTTGCATATTTTCTATATTTTTTTCTCTCTTTTTGGAGAGGTTTTTGCTACAGGGCGTGTGCACTCGCCAGACAGACAGAGAGAGAGACAGAGAGATAGAAAGCGAGAAATCATCGCCCAGGGGGGATGGCCATGCCACAATACCTTCTCCTCCATTCTCCTCTCGGGATCTTGGGAATGCATGCACACAGGCCCGGTGTGAGTTTTTTAAGCCACCGGGTCCAGGACAAGAACAGCGGTCGACTACATGGGAGTCCAGCGACATAGCTAGTCTCATATTTTCTATATTTTTAAATCTATTCCATTCCCCTCTCAGGATCTTGGGCATGACATGCATGCACATGCTCCTGGAATGAGTTTAAGCCACCAGGTTCAGGACTCGAACCTCAGTCAACTACATGGGAGTCCAGCGATGTAGTCATACACTATCTGCTGGTCCCATTAACTTATTTATTTTAAGAAAGATTTTTGCTATAGGGTACGTGCAGTTGCAAGAATGACAGAGAGAGACAGGAAGAGAGTGAGAAATCACTCCCCAGGGGGGATGACCGTGCCGCAACCCATTCTCCTCCATTCTCCTCTTGGGACTTTGGGCACACATGTACATGTTCTCAGGATGAGTTTTAAGCCACTGGATCTAGGACTCGAACTGCAGTCAACTATGTGGGAGTCCAGCAGCATTTTTTTTTTTTTTCTTTTTGAGAGGTTTTTGCTATGGGGCACATGCGTTCACCAGAAAGAGAGAGACAGAGAGATAGAAAGCGAGAAATCACCCTCCAGGGAGAATGGCCACCCCACAATCTCTTCTCCTCCATTCTCCTCTCGGGATCTTGGGCATGCATGCACACGCACCGGGCATGAGTTAAAGCCACTGAGTCTGGGACTCAAACCACGGTAGACTACATGGGAGTTCAGCAACATAGCCATTACGCTAACTGACATAGCCATTACGCTAACTGTTTAAGAAGTCTAAATAATAGAGCTTGATGGAAACCTCTTCAATGCCGATACTAAACAAAAAAGAATTGTCTCAAGAAGGATGGAATTTTCTGTTCTGCTCCTTCTGAGGAACTTTCCTCTGACGTCTCTGTCTTGCTTGCTGTCCATCTCTGAGGCCCCATGGCAGCGTCTCTCAGAGCACTCTCTACAGTACTGAACAAATTAATGGAATCAAAGTCTCTCCCAGACCAAACTAAGGTGAGCAGATGCATGCCTTATCAGAGACTGTATCCTTAGCTGTGCAGTGCGAGGCCAGTTACAAAGGGAAAGCTTAACAGATCCTTGCTGAATAAGTACTAAGTTAAAGGACAAAACGCCTATGGGCAAAGAGACTTTCTAAGAATTTTTACAAGGGATTGCAGAAGTTTGAACATTTGAATTTATGAATTTGTTTTTTCCCTAAGTCACTAATGTAGTAATGTTTATGTTTGCTTAGTATCTTAAAGAGTGAAAAGACAATATAAGCAGTAATGCAACATGGTTTTAAAATATTTTTGTAGGGGCCAGCTGGTAGCATGGGGTGACCCCACATGGCCAACCATATGGATAGAATCCTGGACCCTGGGGCTTGAGAAATACACTGGGCTTGTGGGAGTGTGTGTCTAAAATCTTGGAAGAGAATGGAGGAGAAGGGATTGTGGCGTGTTCATCCCCCACTGGGGTGTGCTTTCTCTCTTTCTAGCAAAATTTTGCTTTATAGGAAAATAAATATGAGTATATATTTGCATATTTTCTATATTTTTTTCTCTCTTTTTGGAGAGGTTTTTGCTACAGGGCGTGTGCACTCGCCAGACAGACAGAGAGAGAGACAGAGAGATAGAAAGCGAGAAATCATCCCCCAGGGGGGATGGCCATGCCACAATACCTTCTCCTCCATTCTCCTCTCGGGATCTTGGGAATGCATGCACACAGGCCCGGTGTGAGTTTTTTAAGCCACCGGGTCCAGGACAAGAACAGCGGTCGACTACATGGGAGTCCAGCGACATAGCTAGTCTCATATTTTCTATATTTTTAAATCTATTCCATTCCCCTCTCAGGATCTTGGGCATGACATGCATGCACATGCTCCTGGAATGAGTTTAAGCCACCAGGTTCAGGACTCGAACCTCAGTCAACTACATGGGAGTCCAGCGATGTAGCCATACACTATCTGCTGGTCCCATTAACTTATTTATTTTAAGAAAGATTTTTGCTATAGGGTACGTGCAGTTGCAAGAATGACAGAGAGAGACAGGAAGAGAGTGAGAAATCACTCCCCAGGGGGGATGACCGTGCCGCAACCCATTCTCCTCCATTCTCCTCTTGGGACTTTGGGCACACATGTACATGTTCTCAGGATGAGTTTTAAGCCACTGGATCTAGGACTCGAACTGCAGTCAACTATGTGGGAGTCCAGCAGCATAACCATTATGCCATTTACTGTTCCCGAGACAATGTTTTATCAATCTATTCCTTTGTGAACCCCAAACTTAACTCAATGAATTAATATTTTTTGTAATTATAAAGCAGTTTTATTTCTGTTTCCTATTTAATTAATTAAAAAATAAATTTATGAATTCCTGCAGAAGATGTTATATTAAAGTATCAAGTCATTATTAGGTAAGTTATTAGATAAGGTTTGTTATTTGTTATTAGGTAAGGTTTGTTATTTGTTATTAGATAAGGTTTGTCCAGAGTGTGGCAATCTGCTATAACTCCCTTAATCATAAAATTAAAACACAGAGTGATGGCTAGTTTCTGGTTTCCTAGTTATTCAGTAGCAGAGTAGACTCAGTGACTTTCTACATATTAATATAAACCTATGGTTGAAAAAGTAAACAACTTTAAGGTAGAAAGAAATTTTAACGTTGAATAAGAAGAAGTATCAGGAAAAATATTATACTAATCACTGAATCATGCCTTAGAAATTTACATGTTTGACAGAAAAGTAAAAATTGATACTTTAAATGGATTCCAAAGGACTTGGGTATACGAGGGATGTGTGTGCGTATACATGCAGTGTTGGGAGAAAAGTTAAAGGAAACTATAACAAACTGAAAACACTGGTGCCTAGTGGGAAGTAGAAAACTACAACAGATATTTCATGGTGAGGAATGATGTACAAGAGTTAAATGACTAAGCCTGGCTTTTCAGAAGCTTACAGTTTGAAAATCCTGAAGAAATAGTTTTTGTTTTTGTTTTTGTTTTTCAAATTAAATATCTATCACTTTGGATGCTAAATGTATCTAAAGATTCATTTTATAAATAAGATACTTGAGGGTCAGAGAGAAAAATACATTTTCGAAATCGTATACCTATTTTCTTGCGATATCAGGAATTAAACACGTGTCCCCTTGCACTTCTCAGCTGACGAGTAAAGTACAAAATTACTTTTGTCTCCATAGCGTTTCCTGAGTGGGTATAAAGGTAGTTATGATCACTGGATTGGGCTGAAGATGACAGGAGATCAAAGTGGACAATGGGTGAATGGAACCAAATTTAACAAGTGGTGAGTTATTTTCTTTTCCTCTTTCTTTCTTAAAATCAGGTATTCCTAGGGCCGGCATGTGGCATGGTGGTTTAAGGTGCTAGACTCTCACGTTGGGTTTAAGGTGCTAGACTCTCACGTGGCCAACATGAGAGTCTAGCACCTTAAACTGGGGTTCGATTCCCAGACCTGGCAGCTTGCTTTCTCACTTTCCCTTTCTCTCTCTCTCCAATCAAATTTTTTTTTAAAAAAAAAAAGGCAAAAGAATTAAATAAATTAAAAGATCATATATTACAACCTTCCAGATAATTTTAGATTTATTACATTTTTATTTACCTAGAAATGGCAGGAGTGACCATTACAATGGAATGATACTGGTTGCTCCAAGAAGGCTTATATATCACTGAGTTTGAAGTTGAAAGAGATTATTAGCTAAATTTTCTAAAGCCCCCAAATCTGTGTGCATGTTGGAAAGACAGAGCGGCAAAGATTGTATCATTTACTGACATTTGTTCCAAGGGTCAACTAGAGTTGGAAATCGAGACATGAGGGAGCAGATCTCTTAGTTGGTTATTCTGAAGATAAAAAATCTGAGATTTATATACACACACCCCCAGACTATCCATTAGGCTTTTGCCTGATTTAAACCTATCTTGTCCAATTTTATATCTACATTTAAACTTCATGCTACCTATTTTCTACCATCTTTTACTGCTCAAGCTCAGTTTAAGGCTCATTTTAAAACAGTGCTCCTTTTATTTGCATTGATGGTGCAGTTTCTCCTGAGATTCCTGCCTTTCATCAGTTTTACAATACAGAAAATTGGCTCCGAAGAGTTGAGTTCACTGAATACACACTCCAAAAGTGACTCTCAGTCATTTAGCCACTTAGTTTACATAAGTTCCTCATTAGGAATAGTACTGACATTTTGTACTGAATAATTCATTGCTCTCAGGAGGGCCCAGTTTCTTTTTTTTTCTTTTAGAATTTTTTAAAATTTTTTCTTTTTATCTTTTTGCCATAGGGCATGTGTATTCACTGGAGAAAGACAGAAACAGAGAGGGAAAATGAGAAATCACACCACTGCCACACACACATGGAATGGCCATGCCACAATCCCTTCTCCTTTTGGGATTTTGGTACACATGCACGCACCTCAAGGTGCCGCTGACTCTGAGACTCCAACCACAAAGTAGGCCATGTGGGATCCAGAGCCTTAATTACCTGACCTGCCGGTCCAGGAGGGGACAGTTTCTCGCACATTGCAAAACGTTGGTAGAAGCCCTGGTCTCCACCAACTGATGCTATTGGCTATCCATCCCACCCTACCCCACTTTCAGTCATGTCAATGAAAAATGTCTCCAGCTATTGACTAGTGCCCTTTGTATGGGGGTGGGGAACAAAATCACCACAAGTTGAGAACGATTGGTTTGCATGAACTGGTAGCCTAACCTAATCTATTTAACAAAGGCAACATATTGGAAGACTTTTTTGTTCCAGCTTGGAGTAGGTACCTCAACTCTAGCAAGAGAAGACTATGTTACAGCCACACTTTTCAAGGACTTTGGACAGAGAAAGCTTTTTTTTTTTGGTGATAATTGAACAAATGAGAAAACAAGACTTCCTGGCACATAATGTTTAATCCCTTTATTTCAGGTTTGCTGTGAAAGGGAATGAAGAATGTGCTTACCTCAATGATGATGGTGCAGCAACAGCTCGATGCTACACAGAAAGAAGGTGGATTTGTAGGAAAGAAATACACTAATTTAACGCTTCTGGTAAATGACTTGATGGGTAAGATGTCTAATGTCTGCAGCCCTTTTTTATTTCCCTCTGTGTAAAAACTTTCAGTTTTACACTGCTTTAATATGATAGCCTAATAACACAGTTTGATAACTGTTAATCTCCCTTCATTTATTTTTCCACTTTTTTACTGGTTAACCCTGTCTCTTTGCTTTTCTGTGTCAATCTTTTAAAGAATCTTGCAATTTCACGGAGCCTGTAGATGGATTTGAGAAGTAGTGTCTTTAATATTTTCTTACTCATTTATAATGTATATCATCTTTGTCCACTTGGGTTACTCTCACGAACAAACACTGAGTAGTTTTAAGCAAAAAGAATTTATTTCTCACAGTTCTGGAGGCTGGGAAGTCCAAGGTCAATGCACTGACAGATTCAGTGTTTGGGGAGTGGCCCTCCTCACAGATGACACATTCATGCTGCAGTCTGACATGATGGGAGAAGCAAGCAAGGTCCCGCTGGCTCCTTTTATAAAGGAACTAGTCTTGGGACCAGCAGTTAGTGTAATGGCTATGTCGCTGGATTCCCATGTAGCTGGCCGCGGTTCGAGTTCCGGACCCGGTGGCTTAAACTCACGCCAGATGCGTGTGCGTGCATGGCCAAGATCCCGAGAGGAGAATGGAGAAGGGATTGCAGTGTGGCCATCCCCCCTGGGAAGTGATTCCTCGCTTTCTGTCTCTCTGTCTCTCTCTCTTTCTGGCAAGCGTACACGCCCTATAGCAAAAAACCTCTCCAAAAAAAAAAGAACTAGTCTCATTTATGATGACCTTGCACTCATGATCTAATCTTCTCCAAAGGTCTCCAACTTTTAGTATTGTCACCTGCGGAGTTAGGATTATAGCACACAAATTTGGTGAGATTACAAACATGCTGCTCATAGCATATAGCCTTTATGGGTTTTTGTCTTCTAAAATAACTTCTGATTATTCTTTAAGTTCTATATATTATTTAATCTAGGTATCAACAAAAAACTGATTCTTATGTAATTTCATTATCTCTAAACGTAGGTTTGTAATTTTTGTTTTGTTTTGTTGCTAGAGGGCATGTGTGCTTACCAAAGGGAGACGGAGAGGGAGAGAGAGAAGAGGAAGCTCCTACAAGGGGAAGAGTTACACTTCACTGTCTTCTCCTCCATCTCTTCCTCCTTTTGGGATTTTGAGCACCCACGCCCATGTACCCACTGTGTTTCTCAGCTGCCAAGTTTGGGACTTGAACTGTGAACTTGGCCATGTGAAATCCAGCTGCTTTAACCACCAGGCTGTGGGACTGTCCCAGCATAGTTTTGTTTTGTTTTTTTTTTCCTTTTCTTTTCTTTTTTTTGGAGAGGTATTTGCTATAGGGTGTGTGTGCTCGCCAGACAGACAGAGAAACAGAAAGTGAGAAATCACCCCCCAGGGATGGCCACATTGCAATCCCTTCTCCTCCATTCTCCTCTCAGGATCTTGGGCACGCACGCACACGTGCCCGGTATGAGTTTAAGCCACTGTGTCCGGGACTCAAACCACGGTCGACTACGTGGGAGTCCAGCGACATAGCCATTATGTTAACTGCTAGTCCCTAGTTTTTATATATAAAAATGTAACTACTTTTAATATCTTTTCTTTAATATCTGTCTTGAAAACTCTCCTATACTTTTTTATTAACTTGCATATTATTTTGAATGTTGCAAAATAAAGCATCTAAGAATAAGTTTTATTTCTTCCTGTCATAACTGTTACTTATTTCTTATCTAATTATATGGATAAGATTGCTCAATATAGATGAGCATTTTTGGTTTGTATCACATTTTTTTTTTTAGAAAAGTCTTCTAATACATCAACATTAGTAATGATTTGTCCGGTTTTATATGCTTGTTCTTAGATTAAGACAGTTCTCTTTTATCTTATTTGATAGAACTTTTTTGTGGAAAGAAATTTAAAAATTTCTCAGTTGCTTTTGTTTCCTGAATCTATTTCAATGTTCTTCGAATCTTTCTTTGTTAATCTTTTACTGTGATAAACAGCCATCTGACTGGAGAGATGAGGATTGTCAACTATCACCTGAAACGTGGAATTGCGAGAAAGGATTGTCTCCCAGAACAGAGAAGGATGGCCTGGTGACACACAGACTGTGAACCTCCAACTGCCCATACAATGAAACAATGAATTCTTTGGATGTAAACCATGATTTGTGATACTTTCTTATAGCAGCTCTAGAAAACTAAGCTATCATATTAGTTAAACATTAACTTATTTTCATTTTTGTGTCCCATTTTTTTCAGAAACAAGCCTGAGCTAGAATATCCCTTTCTTGTCTCAGAGCCCTTTTTCAAATTAAGTAAAACACTAGGGTACTTCAAAAGTTCTTGGAAAGATGGAATTAAAAGTGTAAGTTTATTTTGGCCAAAAAAAAAAAAAAAATCAGTCCATGCATAGTAAGTTAATTTCATGATTTTTTCCACAAATATTTTGAAGACCCCTTGAATGTTCTTCCAGTCTCTCCTCAGTCCGTCTGATCTGCTCTGTTGCTCCACAATCTGCACAAATGCAGGTTTCTACAAATCAACTCTGTTCTCATGGCATCCCCTGAACTTCCTGTAGTTTCATCTTTTCATCCTGTGCAACATTTAAGCTCAATTAACCTTTCCTGTGTGTTTCTTTCTTCTTTAAATATTGTCTCCCATGAATTCTGTGATACCTGTCCCTGAAAGTCCTCCTTGCTGCAACACTTCTCTGCTTTCTGTACCCTTTTCAGTAAGTCAGCAAGTCCCAATACTGTTGGCAATCGTCTAAACAATTCACATCTCTGTAATCCCAAACCTTTCACACTGTCCCATCATCTTGTGCCTTAACTACTGAAATAACCACCTGCATAGCTAGCCACTTCCTCATGCTCCCTTCCCCACTCTGTGCCCAGGGCAGTGGTTCCAAAACTCAGAACTTAGCAGGTTACTCTACTAATTGGAGCCTTTACTAGCTCCCAATTGCTGTGAAAATGAAAATTGAAACACATGTTGTGTGAGATATCCTGTATTTTTCAGCCATATTTCATACTTAGCCTCTCTTTTCCTGACCAAAATAACACTATCCTTTGACTTTAACCTTAAAGCATAAAGTAGTCACTAAAACTAAGAGTTTTTAGTTTTCATATAGTGGTACTTTACCTGGGGCCACTTGAGAGGTTTTCTCCTGCTTCCTAATTCTATTCACTTCTCAGTTCATTTGTCCCATATATAAAGAACTAGTACCCAAAACCTATGATAAGGGCATCTCCTCCCTCCCTTTTATATTCTCCTAAATACCACATAACTTTTCCTCCTGGTGCCTATCAAATTGTTATTCCACCAATATTTATTGGGGATCTGTTATGTGTCAGGCATTGCTTTTAATAATAGGGATCTATACAGGTAAAAACTCTTGCCATCATGGAGCTTAAATTCTCAGGGGCTAAGGGAGATAAAACATAACATTTTAAGAGATATAAAGGAATGTAAGCTATTTAGAAAAGAAACAAAGTTTTATTTTTATATGTGTCTGGTAAATTAATGTTTATGAATCAGACATCAGCAAAGCAATCAGAGATATTCTGCTGAACTTAATACTACGGGGTTATTGGAAAAGTCATCAGTCTTCTTCTATATTTTTAATGCAAAAATGTGTTGGCTTTTCCGAAGACCTGATTTTTTTTTTTTAACCTATGAACCAACAAAGGATTGTGGAGATCAAGGATAGCTATGTCACTTTAAAAGGACTCTAGTGACGCAATTTGGGACAATCTAAACATCAAAAGAAGAGATTAAAACTGAATGAACAATATGTGAAACAGAGTCCACAAAGATATTAATACAAAAAAAGAGTAAATTAAAATATCGATGATGAATTAAATATTTTAAAAATATAAAAGCACCTCTTTCCAAGACAGAGATTGCACTGAACAATCTTACACAGGCAAGGGATGTTTTGTTCAAGGCTATTGCAATAGGGGCGAGAAACTGGAACTCAATCAAACTCAAATTTCCCAAAACAAGTGTTGATAGGCATATGAAGAGCCAAAGAGAGGGAGAGATTATACACTCTGTGTTTGCTGATTGGCTTTACCCAAAAGAAAACTGAACTTCCTTGATTCTCATAAGAGAATGTAGTTTTATAATGTGGAGCAAAGCATCTCACTGCAGTTAGATTCCTACCCTCCCACCAAGACCAGAAAATAAGTGCCCTAAGATCCCTGATGATCACATTCAAAGGGATGGCTCCAGGTCATTGAGAAAGAGATTTCCAGGTTATAAAATCTGTAAAGGGCTTTTACAAAATTATACCTCAAGTAGATAGAGAAAAAATTTACAAGTTTTCTAAAGTTAATAGTCTCAGAAAAGGAAAGATAGTCTAGAAGAAAAGATTCCAAGTTGGTCAAGCTGAGGGAAACATGAAGGTTATTCTAGTTGCTTTCCATGAAATACTAATTAATTACAATGGATAAAGAGTAACTTTACAGAGAAATCAGGCAGATGTCACTTTAATCATGTGTGTAAAATGAATTGCAGCAATAATGAGATAGAATTGTGTGTCACCCGAAAGGCTGTCATGAGAGCCAACTTCACTACCTCCTCTGTGCTGTTCCTGCCAAGGATGCACAACTTGCATCCGGCCATGAGAAATCACAAAACATGTTCCAATTAAAGAACATTTTATAAAATTACTGACTCATACTATTCAGAAATGCTGATTCTCAAGTGCCCAGGAAAGCTGAAGAACTCTTCCAGAATGAAGGAGATGGAAGTGACAGTGACAAAATGCAGAAATGATCCTGAACTGGGTGCTTTTACTCTAAAGAACATTGACAACTGGCAAAACTTGAAAGAAATCTGATATTTATATGTGTCAATGTAAATTTGCTGATTTTTGATAATATAGTACTGTGGTTATGTAGGAGTAGGTCTCTATTTTTATAAGAAGTATACACAAAAGTATCCAATTGATATTTGAAATTTTGTAATGAAATGCATCAATTTGGCAATTAATTCTCAAGGTTTGTTTTTCTTTTCTTTCTTTTTTTTTTCTTTTGGAGAGATTTTCACTATAGGGCATGTGCATTTGGCAGAGAGAGAGAGAGAGAGACAAAGTGAGAAATCATCTACCAGAGGGGATGGCTATGCTGCAATCCCTTCTCCATTCTTCTCTTGGGATCTTGGGCACGCACGCACACATGCCCGGCGTGAGTTTCAAGCTGCTGGGTCTGGGACTTGAACCTCAGTCAACTACGTGAGAGTCCAACGGTGCTACCATCATGCCATCTGCTGGTCTTGATTCTCAAGAGTTTTAAAGTATGTTCTTTATTGTACCTAAAATCTTGTAAGTTTGTGAATTTCTATAATTGGGGGAAAATGCAACATACACAAATGTAAAACAAATACAAATGCAAAATGTGTCATGATTTTGATTGACCCAAATTGAATATATAAAATTGGCTTAGCTTTATATTTTATGTTTGAAAAGTTTGTCTATTTTATTTATGATAGCATGCACATAAAAGTTTGTCTATTTTATTTATGATAGCATGTACATGAGAGAAAGAGAAGAAGAGAGAGAGAGAGAGAGAGAGGAGCATCCTCGACACAGCTCCAATACTCTGTCTTCCCCTCCCCCAAACTTGCGAGCATCCTCGACACAGCTCCAATACTCTGTCATCCCCTTTCCCCAAACTTGTATCTTTCCAGGACCTTGAGCACGTGTGAACATGTCTGGCGTGTTTTCAGGACAACCCACACATAGCTTGCAGCTTCCTATATTGCAGTTCAGTTTGCTACCGATTGCACCATTAAACTGGGCCAGGTTATTATTATTACTATTGTTTATTTAGGTTTTTACCATAGGCATGTGCATTTGCCAGAGAGAGACAGAAACAGAGAGAAGGAAAGCAAGAAATCACCCCCACAAAGAGGATGGCCATGCCACAATTCCTTCTCCCTCATTTTCCTCTTAGGATCTTGGCCACTCTCACACAAGTGCCCAACATGAGTTTCAAGCTGCCAGTCCAGAACTTGAATCGCAGTCAGTCACTTGGGAGTCCAGCACCTCAACCACCACAGCCTCAGGTTATTATGAATAAAAAATGAGTTATGAAAAATTCATAATTGGATTACATTTCATGTAAAATAAACAATGAATTAAAATTCTGGATATAATTACATGGATTTCTATTGGATTATATTATCACATACAGAATTCAAAGGGTACATTTTTAGGTTGTGGACATAGGTTACTCTGAGGTTCAGGCTAATGATGATGACCAACATAGAGGAGATTCTGATGGTCAATTGCAATTTTCTTTATTTTTTTTTCTTTTTACTATAGGATGTGTGCACTTGCCAGAGAGAGAAAGAAAGAGAGAAAAAGTGAAAAATCATCCCACAGGGGGGATAGCCATGCCACAATCCCTTCTCCTCTAGTCTCCTCTTGGGATTTGGGGCATGTACACACATACACCCAGTGTGATTCTCAAGCTGCTGAGTTCAGGACTTGAACCATAGAGTCTGCATGTGGAATCCAGTGCTTTAACCTCCATGCCACCTTTTGGCCCCTTCAATTACATTTCTAAGATCTTACTCCCAAAGAGCAAACCCACTTGAAAACGCTGCTGCAGGCTTCAGAATAAATTCTGTTTTCCTTGGTAGCAGCACAGCTCTTTTCTTTAGCTGGTCCCTTTATGAAGAACCTGCAGAATAGAGAATCAGTGTATTTTTGATCACTGTTGTTGAAGACATTGATACACATTTTCAGTTAATATTTCCCCCTAGAGAAACAGATAATTCAAAATTTCAAAGCATTTTCAAATACCTCAACTCACTAATCCTTACAATGCTTTTGTAATTTAGCATTATATTTGTTATTGGTATAGTGTTTACAGAGAACTGTTGGCAAATGACAGAGCTAAGAATGAATTCACCTCCATGTTCCTGTTCTGGTATTCCTTCTTTTTGTAGCTTGATTAGATTAAGAAATAAGTTTAAGTCCAGACAGTTCATGTAACAACCTCCATGGCTGTGTGTGTGTGTGTGTGTTTGTGTGTGTGTGTGTGTGTGTGTGTGTGAGAGAGAGAGAGAGAGAGAGAGAGAGATTTTTGCTATAGGGCACACGTGCTCGCTCGTCGAAGAGACAGAGACAGAAAGTGAGAAATCACTCCCCAGTGGGGATGGCCATGCGCAATCCCTTCTCCATTCTCTTCCCCAGATTTTGGGCACTCAAGCATACGTGCCCAGTGTGAGTTTAAAACACTGGGTCTGGCATTCGAACTATGGTCAACTACGTGGAAGACAAGTGACATAACCATTACGCCATCTGCTGATCCTCACATTATCTCTTAATCTGACCCTACTTCTTCCCTCTTATAAGGACCATTTAGATGTAGTTAGACCTACCCAGGTTATTCGGCCTACTGTTCTTACCACTAGATTTTTAATTTAATGATACCTGAAAATTCTCTTTTCCATATAAAATAACATATTCACAGGGATTGGGAAATAAGATGTGACCATCTTTGAGTACAATTATTTGACTACTAACATAAGAAAAAGATGTTGAATTGACCTGCTTTACTCTTTGTGTTTCTAATTAAATATTTTATTAAATGAAAACATCACAATGTTGATAGATTTTAACAAATCCTCAGTAATCTCATAGAACTGTTGAGAGAATTTTGGGTTATTTTTTCCTATCCTGTTTTTGTGGTTTTGTCTTTTAACATTATGATCATCACAGAACACACCCAAAAGAGTGCACTTTTTTTTTGTTGTTACTAAAGATGACTAATGTAAACATCAGGAACTTTGAAAATAGAGGATACATCATTGGCTTTCTTACCTTCCCATGTAAAGTATTTGAAAACAATAAGCCCATCTTTGAGTACAATTATTTGACTACTAACATAAGAAAAAGATGTTGAATTGACCTGCTTTACTCTTTGTGTTTCTAATTAAATATTTTATTAAATGAAAACATCACAATGTTGATAGATTTTAACAAATCCTCAGTAATCTCATAGAACTGTTGAGAGAATTTTGGGTTATTTTTTCCTATCCTGTTTTTGTGGTTTTGTCTTTTAACATTATGATCATCACAGAACACACCCAAAAGAGTGCACTTTTTTTTTGTTGTTACTAAAGATGACTAATGTAAACATCAGGAACTTTGAAAATAGAGGATGCATCATTGGCTTTCCTACCTTCCCATGTAAAGTGTTTGAAAACAATAAGCAACTGTTGTTGTTTTCAAATACTTTTACTTTGAAAGACAAATCAAAATATGCATCATTGCTTGTGAATATTAAGTTAGCTGCATCCTTTGAATTCTGTGGTACCACGAACTAGCTCAGAGTCGAATTTGGTAGACTGTATAAATACTTTATGAAGACATATTCTACAATAAACCATAACTCAAATTGCTTTATAAAAGACTTACATCTTTGGATCCAATGAAGAACCATCCACCCAAGTCCATGTCCTCTTCAAGGAGGTAAAGTTAAGTCCAATCCACACGTAGTTTGATTGTCTCAGGTTTTTCTGTATAAATGCCTAAAGAGCAGATGACAAGTAACAAAGCGAGCTTTGGATATAAAAAGATCCTAGGATATTATTGGAGAACTAATCATCTGCATTAGGATTCTTGTCATAATCAAAATTATAACTATATTTGTCTATGTCTACATCACACACCATTGCAAAGCTAATGCAAGTATTTGGGGAAGGTCTACTATGACTGTAATGAGGCACTTTCTTCAAGCATACGAATGTAGAGGGCACTCAAAGCTCAGTAATCAAGATAAATAATTTAATACAAGGATGAGAAGATATTTGAGAAAAGACTTTTTTTTTATTGAGAGGTTTTTGCTATAGGGTGTGTGCACTCGCCAGAAAGACAGAAAGTGAGAAATCATCCCCCAGGGGGATGGCCATGCCCCAATCCCTTCTCCATTCTCCTCTCAGGATCTTGGGCATGCACCCACACATGCCCAGCATGAGTTTAAGCCACCAGATCTGGGACTTGAATCACAGTTGACTACATGAGAGTCCAGTGACATAGCCATTACATCATCTGCTGGTCTAGAGAATAGACATTTTTAATTGCAATGAGGCTAATGTCATAAACCATAATACCAAAGCAAATTACCATTTCAAGTTGGTCCCTTATAACTAGCAAATGAGATTTTCTTCCTAAACAATATATATAACTCTCACTCCAATTTTTCATCTCATTAGAGAACCAATAGCACTTGTCTTGATAGGTGAGCCACTCCAGTGGGCATGGCCCTGTAGGAAAATGGAGGAAATGAAATAAAATTAAATTACATATGCATTTCTAAGAATTGATAGAACAATATTTATGTGTTGTATGATTAAGAGTTGAGCCAATATAAAATCATTCACAGAAAAGTGGTCAGACTCACAGATGGTCCAAAATGATAATCCATAGGCATCAAGACAATTAATTTAGTAAAATGAAGCAAAATATGGGTTGAAAGTATTTTTCATGCCACGATCTGATATATTGACTAAAACAGTATCAACTAATTAAGATGTATATATTACATTAATGCCATTTGATAGATTTGATAAAATATTATCTATGCTATTAATACTTACCTAGAATTTAATCCATATGATGTTTTGGTTTCTTTTGCCTATTACTTTTCTTTTCCCTTTTGATATTAAATATCAAGTCTAATAACAGTCTATTTTTAACATCATTATGATGGCAAGATCAGAAAGTCCTTTGGTTTTCTTAAATTAAAAATATATTTTAGTGGGACCAGCAGTTAGCGTAATGGCTATGTGGCTGGACTCCCACGTAGTCGACTGCGGTTTGAGTCGTGGACCCGGTGGCTTAAACTCACACCAGAGGCGTGTGCGTGCGTGCCCAAGTAATAACAGTCTATTTTTAACATCATTATGATGGCAAGATCAGAAAGTCCTTTGGTTTTCTTAAATTAAAAATATATTTTAGTGGGACCAGCAGTTAGCGTAATGGCTATGTGGCTGGACTCCCACGTAGTCGACTGCGGTTTGAGTCGTGGACCCGGTGGCTTAAACTCACACCAGAGGCGTGTGCGTGCGTGCCCAAGATCGCGAGACAAGAATGGAGGAGAAGGGATTGTGGCGTAGCCATGCCCCCTGGGGGATGATTTGTCGCTTTCTGTCTCTCTGTCTGTCTCTCTGGCGAGCACACACACCCTATTGCGAAAACCTCTCCAAAAATAAATAAATAAATAAATAAATAAAA